CCCCCCCCCCCCCCCCCACCACCCCAACCCCGCCCTCTCTCCCTCACCTTGAATTCAGGCACCTCTCTTTTTACTCTATTTACCAGGGTTTCTGTGCATACTTAGGGGTGGAGGGATGGGATGGTGGGTGGGGTGTGGGGGGAAAGGCGAGGAGGAGCCTAGGACACCCTGCTCGCGTGCATCACACAGAAGATGCATCCTTGCCAGCTCTGATCAGAGTGAAACGTGCCATAAAGAATGAGCGGACTTCATGACCCTGCGGATCCCCCACCCCCACCACCACACACACACACACGCACACGCACACCTCTTTTCAAAGCTCACACGGGATACCTCTGTGAGCCTCAGCTTTGTGTATTCACACTATAAAGTGAGAGACATTAAAAGGATTACAGGTGATTAGTGTTTTAACAACCCCCCTCACCCCCCCCCCCACCCCCCACGCCCCGGGGTCTCTTAATCAAAAATCAACATGGAGGATAGTCTTTTAATGAGCTCATGCAGTATCAAATAATAGGTCTAGACATGAATATGGATTACAGTTGTCTGGCATGAGCCAGAATGAATATACAAAAAGCGTCAAAGGTCCAAAGTATCACCAGTGACCGTCTGCTCTGCGAAATGGTGGCAGACATCTTTAACACCTCACTTACCCGGCAACTTCCCACCTGCCTGAAGACTGCCACCATCCTCCCAGTCCCAAAGAGCTCCACAGTGACTGGTCTGGATGACTACTGACCAGTGGCCCTCACCCCGAGTCGCTAAATGATTAGAATAACTGGTCATGACCCACATGAAAACAACCATCAACATCAACGAGAACCCTTGTCAGTATGCATACTGTGAGAACCGATCAACAGAGGATGCCATCTCCTCTGTGGTCCACACTGCTCTCAACCACCTGGAGCAGAAAAACACTTACGTCTGTATGCTCTTTGTGGACTTCACATCTGCCTTCAACACCATCCATCCATCCATCCATCCATCCATTTTCTTTACCCGTTTATTCCATTTTGGGTCACGGGGGTTGCTGGTGCCCATGTCCAGCAATCACTGTGCGAGGGGCGGGGTACACCCTGGACGGGTCGCAAGTCCATCACAGGGACACATAGAGACAAACGAGACAAACAACCATTCACTCTCTCACTCACACCTAGAGACAATTTAGAGTCACCAATCAGTCTAACATGCATGTTTTTGGACTGTGGGAGGAAACCGGAGCACCCGGAGAAAACCCACGCATGCACTGAGAGAACATGCAAACTCCACCCAGAAAGGCCCCTGGACCGGGGTTTGAACCAGGGAGCTGCTCGCTGAGAGGCAGCAGCTCTACCAGTTGCGCCACCGTGCTGCCCTGCCTTCAACACCATGATTCCCCAAATCCTGATGGACAAACTACTCACACTAGGACTAAGCCACTCCATTTGCAACTGGGTCCTGGACTACTTAACAAACAGACTGCAGTCTGGGAGGATCCACAACTTCTCCTCCTCCACCATAACCTTCAGCACTGGCACCCCTCAGGGCCATGTGCTGAGCCCTCTCCAGTTCACTCTGCTCAAGTATGACTGTAACCCTAACCGTACCCAGGCTGTCACATTGTAAAATTTTGAAGTTGATACAGCGGTGGTGAGATGCATCACAAACAATGATGATTCCAGCTACAGGCAGGAGGTGGAACACCTGGAGAGCTGGTGCAAAGAGAATAACCTTCACATCAATGTGAAAAAGATGAAGGAGGTGGCCCTGGACTTCAGAAGGAACAAACACACCTACCCCCCAGAACATAGGAGGCTCTGTGGTGGAAGTGGTATCCAGCTACAAGTACTTGAGTGTGCACCTGAATGAAAACCTCAGCTGGAGCAACAACACCACCAGCATGATAAAGAAAGCTCATCAGAGACTCTACTTCCTCAGGCAGCTGAGACGAGCTGGTCTGTGAAGCTCAGTCCTCACCTCCTTCTACAGGTGTGCAGTGGAGAGCATCCTGTGCTCCAGCATCAACGTGTGACATGGAGGCTGCACAGCTGCAGAAAGAAAAGCTTTGCAGAGAGTGGTGAAGGCTGCACAGAAGTCTGTTGGAGTCAGTCTTCCCACCATCACAGACATCTACACCTCCAGATGCAGGAAGAGAGTCACCTGCATCATGAAGGACCCCACTCACCCAGCACACACACTTCATGTCTGTGCAAAGCTCAATTTTTACGACCGCGCAGACAGTGTCGCACAATAAACTGCCCGGTGACGGACTGTTTTGTATGCGACACCAATGTATTAATTTCCTCTTCTTCATCCCTGATCTGGCCTTTTCTTTTTTTTCTTTTTTTTTTTACAAAAGGCAAGTGATCTCCTCCTCCGTTGATGCAATGACTGAAATGGTGAGAAATGAAGGAATTTGTCACGAGCGAATTAAACTAAGGTCCAGCGTGGCTGCGGGAGGTCATGGAGATTTCCTGGTGGGCCGCTCTGATGTGTGGGCTGCAGGACCAGCGCTCCCTGTTTTTTTTAATTTTTTTAAAACGTTTTATTAACAACATATAAACACAGAACATTGCTGCCGCTGAGGCTGCCAGCTGTTTTTTTTTTTTTTACCTGTCCATCATTCCATGACCAATCGGCAACCTCAATTTGTCCCGAAGGTAAACACTCCTTCTCTGTGGAGCTGCTCTGCAGCCACTCAGGGTGGAGACTCGAGCATGAATTCTTAACCCTCCGTGTACGTACGCGTGGACGGATGTACGCGGGAGTATACTGGAGGCTTTAAGTGTAGAATCACTAGACTGAGGAACAGCTTCTACCCTGAGGCTGTTAGACTCATGAATCTCTAACCAGAATAATCACTGAGAAGAATCACATCATGTTGCTGCTGATCTGTTTCATGTTGCTGCTGATCTGTTTCATGTTGCTGTGTTCATTCATACTCATCTGCTCACACAGACTCATGTTTGTGTCGCTGTTCGGTGTATTGTTTTTGTACTACTTGTAGTACTTAGTGTGTTTTTAGTTTAACGTTTTTCTTAGTTCATATCTTAGATCTTATTACTGTTTTACTTTTACATTTTATACTTTTGTTGGATGTAACTGGGACCCTGTGTACACAGTTTCGTTCCACCACATGTACCACATGTGGTGCGAAAGACAAATGAAGAGCCTTGAATCATTGAATCAACTGGTGGCCCACAGGCCCAATCTGTATGAGGGTGATGTGTGTTGGAGGCTCTGATAGTGGCATCCAATCAAAATTAACTGAATAGTTAAAACCAAGTTAGAAGAGAAAAAGGTGCCATGGAATTTAAGATATTTTGCATACAAAGTATTTCCAAAAGAAAGAAATAGAAGAAAGAAAAAAATAGACCAATTTAATGAATTTTGTAATGTTTTGATTTACTGCTTTTTGCAAAAATAGTTTTCCTGCTGACAAGCAAAAGTAAGCGCCCATAAAGCGCATGTGCCAAGTGTTGTTTGTGACTACAGTGTTGTGACGTACACCCTCACAGTCAAGTGACACATCAAACTGCTCCCGGCTGAGCCGAAAATAAAAGATGTAATGGCCAACAGTAGCTGGTCATCGTAGACATGGAGCTCCTTCTCCAGCCTGAATTCTCCACACACTCTGGATTGTTCAATCCTATGTGATCCTCACCAGATCGAACAAGTGAAACAAACTAAATCTCATATGAAGAACAAATCATGACTGCACAAAGCTGAAAAGAAGAAGCAGTGTGTAAAAAATATCAGCTTGTTGAACCAACTTTAGCAGTCGTTACTTCAAGCAACCCTCTGTGTGACTTCATCAGTTTGTAGTTTTATGTTTTTTAATGACATTGCTGCAGTTCAATGTTTGTATCAATAGTTCTTGCACATCACCTGTGAAGTTCCACTCCATTTCTATCTGCTTGAGGTTTGTGCTTTGATTGGCCCATTGTAACACTCACTCGCCTATTTAACCATCCTGCTGCCTTTGGGTCAAAATGAGAAGGTATTAGTTTAGAACTGAGGCCTCCTGGCTTAATTTGACCCAAGGGCAGCAGATGGACTCACCCTGTCCTGGGTCATGGGGCTGTACCCAACCAAGCAGTGAGCAGGAAGTAGGGTAGAAACTAAAGTCAGTGCTTCATTGCAGGGCCAGCAAAAGAGACACAGACAGTAAGCTAAATTAACAATTAGCAACTAACCCATGGGAAATGGAAGGTAACCAGGAAGAAAAAAAAGAAAGCACAAGTATATTTGATCTTAGAATGGAATTTGTTTAAATAGATTTACACCAAAGGGAGCCAGGGACAGTTTAGCTCGAGCTTCAATATAGAAATATATGGTGTCACATGCAAAAAAAGTTTGATATACAGAGTTCATGATCATTCTCAAGACCGAGGATCTCTATTTGTCTAGAAAGCAAGCCTTGATCATCAGCCCTTAACCTGCATGCTGACAATAATTAGCTTCATTTGGTTTTCACCATGATAGACAAACATCGTTTTGCTAATCTCACCTGACCCATTGTTATAGAGAGTTGATGAATGGTTCAAATGCAACTTTGCAAACCCATGCTGTGCTGCCATGTTCAGTTTAGAGAGAAGACACTTTCTTCACCCTTTCAAACAAGCAATTAATTTCCATCAGGCATCGTATGTTGAACGCTACCATGGCAGAAAGAAATAGCAAAATCACAAGTATGGTTGGAGATGGACAGAATGAGTGAGAGGACGGTGACATCAGAGAGCAACAAAAAAAATGGAAAAAGCAGAGAATAGAAGGGTCTTGGGGGAATTTCTTTGAACAGGCGAAGAAAAAAATATGAGAAAGAGAGACAAGGCATCATGTTCAGTGCTGTTGTGCTCCTTTAGGTCCCACTCTTCAAAGGGACGGTGGCCCTGATGGCTTTACCATACTCTGCTTTGGGATTAGAGATGAAATGTTGCACAGCATCTATAGGTTTGAAGCTACTTGGAGCAGATCGTACAACAAAAAGCTTTAAGAAACAACCACGTCACTTTGAATAAACCTGTAATCGATGGATGAAATTATCATTCACCCCCCCCCCCCCCCCCACACACACACACATAATTATTCACAGTACTTCACATTTTCCACATTTTGTTGTTAGAGCCTTATTTCAAATTATAATGAATTAATCTCTTTCCTCAAAATTCTACACACAATACACCATTATGACTAGGGATGGGGTCGATCCGGTATCAGTATCGGGGTCCGATATCAGCAAAATTTATGTATCTGATTTTTCTGATCCAATCTGCAGAGATTTCCGATCCATGATGCATGTCTGTGTCTGTTGAGATATCTCCACATGTGATTCCCTGCCAGCTGCTCTGCACGTTGGCTTCAAACTATGGAATGGATTTCCTGAACGGAGGCGTGTCTCATGAACCCAGAGTAATAAGACCCGCCTCACATTCAGGAAATCCAGTTCATAGTTTGCAGCCAGCTACAACGTGAGTAAATATGTGAAGACAGCAGCATCACTGTGGCTAATGGCTAACCAACATTTCATTGAAACATGTCCGCTGTATGAAAGTATTTTACACTAGGAACACCATAACGCAAGACAGCAACGTGCAATGTCTGCAGAGCCGCTGTACCGAGAGGAGGAAGCTCCGTTCGGACCTACAATACAACTAACTTAATCAAACATAACACCACATTAAACCACTGTAATGTTAGTTTTACGTTGGACATCTGAGCTCCGGGGCTTCAGCGGTGTGTTCTTCTCGTTCAGTCCAAAGCAGGCAGTCTGATTTTGGTTAGCCACGCTGAATCTGTCCCGCTCAGTCTGCCCGTCTCGGAGGAGGGACAGACTGAGCGCGGCTGACCAAAAGCAGACTGCCTGATTCAGACTGAACGAGAAGAAGACACCGCTGAAGCCACGGAGCTCGAATGTTTACAGAGAAGTTGCTAAACTTCATCGTAATTAATGACTGACCACTATCAGCTGTTGAAAACGAAGGACTTCACAGCTTGATACTTGCAGCCAAGATATAGTTTACCCTCCAGGAGATATTTATCAGTACAACAGTAGACAATCATAAAAAAACACATGAATTGAAAAATACAAGAAAATTATATATATTCAAAAAAAAGGAAACAAAAACAGCTACATTATAAAGCGATGTAAAACACTAAAAACTGGAACATGTTTGTGTTTGTTTATGCCATGAACTTAGCAGATGTTTAAAGCCATTTAATCTTTTTAACGTCCACTTTAAAGTTAGGGGAAAACAAACATGTTTTGTGTTAGCAGGATTTAATTCTAACTTTGAA